GGGGGGGGGGGGGGGCATGAACCAACTGGTTCATGGCTGAACAGTATAAACAGATTAATGTCCATGAATTGATCAATAATCAAATGAACTGATTGTTAACAATAATCATGAACCGATTAGTGACAATAGAACCAAAATCACAGACACGACTGTGACTGAAAACAACATCTCACACTGTAATGCATGCAGACAGAAGTGAGCTTAAACAGAGTTCCATGAGAACAACAATATTCATTCTGTTAGGGCACTAAGGACAGAATGTGTCATGGAACGAGCCGTTACATCACGTAGGTAAAAGCGAATAAATGAGCAGGGTGTTGACCATGCAGCCGCAGTGCAAATGTCCTGCATTGACATACCATTATGCAGAGCAGTCGAAGATGCGATACCCCTGGTCGAGTGTGCTTAGAGGTTGACAGGAGGCCCTAAATCTGATGCTCTGTAGGCTTCAGAAAAAGGCCTCACACAGCCAGTGTGACAAGCGCTGGATGGATAACGGCGACCTGCAGAAGCATCTCTATAATGCACAAACAATTGTTGAATTTGAACGCATTGCAGCTGTGCGCGTTACGTAACACGTCAACGCCTGCATCGGGCAGAGAAGATGAACAGATGCTTCCCCTTCTGATCTGTGGGGGGGAAAAGACCCCTCCAACGACATCACTCTTGATTTAAAAGAGCTCGTGATGTTTTAGGCATAAAAGCTGGGTTGGTCTTAAAACAGCTGAGCTGCCCGTCAGCCTAATTCTAAGGCATGACGAAACAACAGAGAGGGCAGATAATTACTTACCCTCTTAGCGGGTGTTAAAACCAGCAGCAGGACTGTTTAAAGAGACAAGAATTTAAATGAAAACTGATCCAGAGGCTCAATTGAAGCTTTGATCAGGGCTCGCAGGACCAGCGTTAAATCCCACTGTGGAACAAGTGGGCATGAAACAGGCCTACATCTCTGAACACCTTTTAGAAACCGCTTCATCAGCGGGTGATTAAAAGCTGTTCTGTCTCCAAACCCTTTGTGGCAGGAAGAGATGGCTGCAACGTACGTTAAAGCGTACTGAAAGCCAACTCCCTATCCATCAGCTGTTGTAGAAAAACAACACGCTGCCTAAAAAGCATGAAGTGGTCTCTAAACCTTCTCTGTACACCAGCGCTGAAAAGCCGTACCCCTGATGTGTACAGAACTGTGGTAGATGCAGCACGTGAATCTTGAATTGTGCACACTATCTCCTGAGGGAGACCCATCCTCTAAGTGGGACCGCTCAGCGGTCAAACCCACCGGTGTTGACCTATTTCTGGGTAACTCTTGGTCGCTCCTCCTGCCTGAAGGAGAGCATCCTTCCTCCACGACAGTTCCACGGCGACCCCACAACAGACGTTGCAGGCCTGGGAACCATAGTGCGTTCACACGCCCGGAGCCACCAGGAGAGCTGTCAATCCCTCCTCCTGAACTCGGTTCATGGACCGTAAAAAACAGAGGAGGTGAGGGAAAAGAAACGCGTAAAAAGCGTTTTGGGCCACCGACTGTGAGCAAATGCGTCCCCCCCAGCGATGGATCGTCTCGCGGGCTCAGGGAAAAAAACGTAGTTGACATTGCGCGTTCTTCTCGCGTCGCAAACAGGTCCACAGCTGCTTTGCCAACTTCTGCTGTGTCTGAAAAACATCAGATCCGGATGGAGGATCCGGTCCACATAACGTGGGCCGCCCTTGGACGTCACATCAGCCCCTCTGTTCAGAACATCGGATATGTAAACCGCTCTAATAAAAGCAGGTTTGATGAACCCAACTCAGTAGCTTCCGCGCAATGTGTAACATCTGGGCTGAACGCACACCCCCCTGGCGGTTTATGTACGCAGCAGTCACCATGTTGTCTGTGTGAATCAACACGTGTTGATTCTGTAGCACGGGAGCAAAATGTTGAATCACATTCAGCACTGTGCGACACTCCAAAACATTGATGTGGGCTGATGTGCGGTGGGGCCACAGCGCCCCTACTGCTTGAGATAGGCATGTTCCCCCCCCCAACCTGACAGAGACGCGTCCGTGAAGACTGACACGTGACGTGGGTCTGCTGACGGGGACTCCCTCTGACAGAGCCAGGGTGTTTCCCCAGTGTCGGAGGTCTGCTCCCATGGAGGGAGGGACAGTGATCATCCGTCTCTTTTGTTTTACTGGATCCACACGCAGACGCGTAAACCACCTCTGGAGGCGTCTCATGTGTAACAAACCCAGCGGGACCACTGTGTGAGCTGATGACGTCATTCCCAACAGCTTCATGACGGAGACAGCTGTTACCACTTTGCCAGGTCTTACGTGGCGTAATTGGTTTTTAGAGTGTCGATTCTTGTTTGTGATAAACGAGCCGTCATGGTAATTGAGTTTAATTCCACTCCCAGATAACAATTATCTGGGCCGGGAAAATCGAGCTCTTCTTCCAGTTATGGCGAAACCCAGATTTAGCAGGTGTGATGCTAACACCTGAGCCTGTATCAATGCTTCCTGTCTGGAGTGAGACAGGGGCAGCAGGTCGTCCAGGTAAAACAAAACTCTCATCCCTGCTTGTGCAGTGGATGCAGGGCTGTCTCCACACACTTTGAGAACGTACGAGGCGCGAGGGAGTACCCAAAAAAAAAAAAAAAAGGCAACCTGTTGTACTGGTACTTCATCCCTTGAAAGGCGAAACGCAGAAATTTTCTGTGTTTTGGGATGATTGGTGTGTGAAAATAGGCATCTTTTAAAACGATGGAGACAAACCAGTCGTTTTCCTGGATGTTGTCCAACAGCTGTCTGTTCATCAACATGTGAAAAAATCTGTTCATGATCGCTTTGTTGAAAGCTGACAGATCCAGAATCGGTCTCATCCCTCCCTGTGTTTTCCTCCTCGTTGGGAACTCTTGAGATTACACCTTTTATCAGAAGCTCTTGGACTTCTGCATTTAAGGCTGAGACTTGGTCTGGTGATGACAGGACCGTCTCTATAACTCCTCCGAACGGAGGGGGTCGGGTTGCAAACTGCAGCGTGTAACCCTTGCATAGCACTCTGTCCATCCATCTGTCCGGTGAGCATGTTTTTAACCACTCTGCGTGACGTTCGTGGAGTGGACGTGCGTTTAAATGATGTGCCGTGTTTTGAACGGATGTCATCCAAACCTCCGCCTCGACCGCCGTCATGCGTCGCGGAAATGTTTTCCGCGTGACCCAAGGCGAGGCTTTCTCGAAAGGGCTGTTCTGCGCGCGCCCGCGCGCTGTGACTGGATCGCGGACCAACCTTCATGTCCGGGCGGGGCGGTAGCTGTGTGCTGAGGCGAGGCGTGTGTCAGCTGATGAAGTGAAGGTTGTGAGCCTCGCGGGAGCGCACGTTTCCTCTGGAGGGACGCGCGCCGCTCTCGCTGAGGGCGGGGCCCGTCATTAGATTCATTCAGCTGTCTCACGCTTATGCCGCCGTGAGCTGCTGATCGCTGGGACGCGGTGGATGACGGCCACTCGCGTTCATACAGGAGAGGCGTGTGTTGTTTTCGCTGAGAGCAGGGACCTCCACCGGACCCGGCCTGCGGTCCCACATTTATCCCGATGTGGGCCGGTGAGCGCCGGGCAGCTGTGCGTGCATCATCGACACAGTGCCGTTGGATGGAGGCTGCTTGTCTCGCTCGGGAGCGCGTTAACACCGTTGGGAGGTGATCGTGCGGGTCTGATTGACAACAAGTTATTTCGCTTACCGTGGTGTCACGTGAGCGTCTGGGCATGTGAAGGAGCGGCGGTGGATTTAAAAAACCTTTATTTAAGGACACCGGCTCTTATGAGTGGAGGATGTGTGTGTAGCGGCTGTGAGCTCATCCGAGCTTACAGACTGGCTAAAAACAGGCATTTTGATCTTTGAAAAATCATTTATTCAATTCCTGTGTCATTTATACACACATCCTCCGCAGACCGTCATTTCTTAAAACTTCTCCCCCGTGAGCTCTGCGGTTTGTTTGCTCCGAGCGCCGTCTGCAGGCGATCTCTGGGGAAAACGCTGAAGTGCAGGCTGCCGGACTGAGGAGGGGTGGTCTCTGGCGGGCGGGGCTGGTGGTGGAGCTGGGCGAGACGAAGCTGCTGCTGCCGTGGAGCGTCG